CTTCGACTGGTATCGGTTGTGAACGTCCGACCAGGTTACGGCCGGGTATTCGATTAAATTCTGCTTTAGTTGTTCTGAGGCCATCGAGCTTCGTTCGTTCAGGCCTGCACCGCCCAGTCATCGAAGACTGGTGGCAGCTCCATTCCTTCCATCTGGACGAACTCCCGCAATATCTCGTTCTCCCTCTACTTGATTTTGAAAACGTCGGACTTCCTTGTTGCTACCTTGATGGCTCCAGCATGTGCTTTTATGAAGGAGTCTGCTAGCATGGCGAATGAATCTATGGATTTGGGAGCCAAGTTGTGGTACCACATCATGGCCCCCTTTGAAAGTGTTTCTCCGAATTTTTTCAGCAACATGAACTCGATCTCGTCATTTTTTATGTCATTGCCTTTTACCGTACAGGTGTAAGCAGTGACATGTTCGTTAGGATCGGAGGTGCCGTTGTACTTAGGGAGTTCCGTCATTCTGAACTTTTTCGGGATGGACTTTGGGGCCGCTTCCTCGGGGAACGGCCTTTGAATGAACTTCTTTGAATCCAAGCCTTTGAGGAATGGGGGCGCACCTGGGATCTGATCGACCCTAGAGTTGTAGGTCTCAACCTTTTTATCGTTGACCGTAATCATTTTCTCACCCGATTCGATCCTTTTGGTGTGGCCCTCGAGCATTTTTACAATGGAGGGATCAGCTACCGATCCGTTGTTACTTGACGTTTCGAGGATTCGCTCGACAGGGGGAGCTGTCTCTGGTGCCGCTGTGCTGGGGGTCCTCAGATGGCTTTCCAGCTAAGTGATGGCTAGTTGTTGTGCCTGCAACATCTCAAAGATAACGTGAAGACTAACTTCCTGTTCTTCTTGGGCCGGGGTTTTTTGTGCTTCTTGTTGGTCGCCCCGTCGTATGCTCCTGTTAGTGTGAGAGTTTTCGTCGACTTGTCATGCTTCTTGCGAATCTGCGTCCTCCAGGATCGGTCCGTGGGCGACATCAGGATTTTGTGAAGGTGCTCCAGCGGCCGGGACATCCACGCCATTTTCCCGTGATTTTCGAGGTTGTTGTTTTCGGCTCCGTTTATCGAGCCGGACATTTTAGCCTGAAATCAAAAGGATCTTGGACAAGAAAAGTGTGAAATATAATGTGTGTTTGTGTGACGAAACCAGCAAGAAAATAATCGCTATTATTTTTAGCCCCACGGTGGGCATCAAACTGTTTACCGTGAAAATGGTAACAACAATTAAATTTGTAAATGGGATTCTAAAAATACGTGATCTATTCTCTAGCTAGTTTTTAGTGCCGTTGATGCTAAAAATGTTAAGTGTAGTGATAAAATACGAGCTAAGATTAAGCAATAAACAAATAGAGGGGGCCTGTTGCCTTAGCGCGGAGCGGATCGATAGAGGCCCTGGGGCCGAGGCTTGAGCCTAGTTGTTAAAGCAGTTGATGCCAACAATGCTGAGTATAATAACAAAATACGAACTAAATTGAGGCAGTAATCAAACCGAAGAGGCCTGCTGGCCAAGTGTAGAGTAGGTCTATGGAGGCCTTGTGGCCGAAACTCGGGTCGAGTTCGAACTATCGGGGATAGTTGGGAAGGGGATAACAAGCAGAAATACGATTAAGTAAGGCTCTTTACGGCCAATATTGAGCTATGTACGAAGAATAGGTTAAGAGACAATGAACATAAGCGTGGCCTCGAGCCAATACCGAATGATAAAAGAACGATTGAATATAAATGATCTTGAACCAAGGAGAATGAGCAAATTAGAGAGAGGAAGATAGAGAAGATATTATCGTTTCAATGGAGGAGTGGAGCTCTATCCCTACAAAGTGTTAATGACCCCCTTTTTATAGAAAAATGGATGCTCAAACTTAGTACAGAATCTTTTGATATGACAAAAAGGGACGAGATGTGACAGTCCGTTAGCTTTATGTCGTGTGAGGGATGGCGTCGAACCGCTTGAATAGATCTGGTCGACCCCAGGTGCATTCCTCGAGGGATTCTTGCATTCGTCGGGCCTTTAGTAGATGTTCATTCTTGGAAAGCCGGGATCATTCTCCGAAATATCACTTC